TGTTTGCACTACTACATCACGAATTGTTTTTAGTTACTGAAATGTGTTCTGAAATATTAGCACATACTGTAATAAAGAGCCATTCAAACCAATTCTGTCCATTCTGGGTTTTCAGGCTCTCTACAATCCCTGCTTCTACAGTACCTTTAAATAGACCTTGACAGGTTGATGACAGATGAGTTCTGATCTCTGGAATTAAGAATGAAATCATGGGTCTTAGTAGTAGATGATAACTAATTAAGAAGGTGTCCTAAAAATAGTCATGGTAACATGCTGGCTTGGTGTTCCCTGAAGGGCTATTCTTAAAAGAAGGTGCTGTGAACAGAACACGAATGTGAATAAAGGGTGTCAGAGGCTATGATGGAATTACTAAAAAGGCATGCTGTAACCTTTTCAGGCAACGGAGTAAATTCCCAAACACAGAAACATGTTTTTAGAACTGTTAATCAGAGATGGCTTGACATGAAAAGGCAAGACAAGGGCAGACATTGTGGCAGGCGTCTCACTGAAAAGAAACGTTGTCCCGAGGGTGTGAAGTGGACAATTTGAAAGAAGCTATACAAGAAAAAAAAAACAGCAGGCTAACACAGAAGACTTGTAACCTCATCCTGTTATCAATCAGTACTTGAAATTGTTTTAATTAAATGAAATGTGAGTTATTCTATAATTGTATAACTTGTTAGTTTAATTAAGTACTGTACATTTATACTTGTTAAGTACAATTATTACATAGCAGCTCGTCATTCCTCCATTGTCATTTTCTATTTCCTGGTAAGGAGCACAGAAACCTACAGCTTATATTAGAAATGCAGAGTGCAAGGAAGGACTACATACTAGACACGAATCAGGCCCATCACAGGGCAAACATACAAGAACAAAAGGACAATTTAGATGAATACATCCGAGAAAAAAATTAACGTCGCCAGAAGCTGGAAGTAAGCACAGGGAAGAACATGCAAACACCCTGCAGAAATTGCTACAGTTCACCGTGTGGCTCCAATTATAAATCACTTCTACCTTATAATGTATAAAACTATGATATAATTTCAGTAACTCAGTCTAATTAATGTCACAAGACGTCAACATGTATAGGGATGGCATATTTACAATTTGGAGTTAACTCATGTGGCTGAGGAAACGAGAACCTGGCCAGTGAGGTTAAGGCTGACAGAAGCTCCTTGTACAGTATGGCTTTCCTTTTGATTCTCAGAAGAGAACAATGGAATGCCATAACACCAATGTAGAGTTATTCAATGACAGAGCTTGAGGAGTAAGAGCTTTTGGTTGATCAGGTCTTTTGTGTTAGGCTAACTGTGCTCCCTATGGTTTGTTCTGTCCCTTTATTAGCAGTACAAAATACAAACATTATGAAATGGGCATCATGAATAATTTCAGAATACCACAATTCCATTATCAACAAAGCCTTTTATCCTGTGAAGTGGCCAATTTGAAAGACACCATACAAAAGGGTTCACGACATGACAGAGGATGCGACTCTATCCAAGATGCATGTGGCTACTCTCTCAGGATGTGACATCAGTCCATCACAGGACCGAAAAGAAAGGGACAGGACTAGCTTATCAAGCCTAGCCAATGTGCCCTTGGAAAGCGGGTAGAAACTAGAGTACAAGGAGCAAACTCGAATGAACGCAGGGAGAACAAGTCAACTCCAAACAGACACCAGAGAATAGAACCAGAAACAGAACGATGGAGCTGAGAGGTCGCACATCTATCTTTCACACCACTATTAGTATTTCAAATTGCAAAAAATACAGTATATACCTGATTGTACATAGACTAGACAACATGCTTTTCTTTCATTCAATCAAATTATAAAAATGTGTTGACATCACAGAAAAAGGTATGACAGCACCAAAATGTCACCGAAAGCCTGATGAGTGATGTGAACTGACTTCTGGTGTCACACAGACAAAAAAAAGGAAATGATAACTGTCAGAATAGTTGCTTTGTTATTCACAAGATAAGGAATTTACTGTAAAACCTAATCTTAACTATTTCTTCACTATTTCTGTTCACTTATTTCTTAGAAGTCATTAAGCTTACAATTCAGAACATTTGCGTCAGTCCACAAAATGTTGCATCAAATTACGATACGTTAGCTGTAAATTAAAATCTAACAATTCTTGTACAGAGTACAATCAATGATACTAAACAGATCACACAAACTAAATGAAAATGAAAAACAACTTCCAGACATCTCAAGTGATACAAAGATAAAAAAAAGATCTAACTCTGCTCATTCTCTCATTTTCCTGCACTGAAAATAAAATTCACTGTGGCTCAACAACATACAACCAAAACATAAATAGAAATATTTAGTATATGGTTTCAATAAGAACATGAGCATAAATTCCCTTTTTAGTGTCCTGTGGTTGAATATCCCACAGTAATGTAGTAACCTAATCTATGCTTTGGTATTTAACTGAATTCTCTAACAGAAAAAGGGAAATTTTGCATTGAAGCAGAAAACTTTGAAAATTATCCTACAGATATAACTAACACACATTTCCCATATAGTAAAATATTTTTTGGATTGCTGTAATTTACCTTCGTATACATTGACATTCCCTCACTAGCAATCCACAGTGTTAAACAACAGATATGTTAAACACATCATCCATGTACATCCCTAATTCTTTCAGATGCATAATGTCTGTCCCTAACTTTCTGAGGAAAATATGAAGTCTCATTTTTGTGGTTAATTCTGGAGACTGCAAGCCAGTGGGTTGGACTGGTACTGGTAATTACGTCTGGTTAGAAGATGAGAAAAAAAAGAAATTCTTTGGTATTTTTAAAGAACTCAAAATGCAGCTTTTGCATGATGGTCAAAAGGCATTAAAAGAGAGATCTTTATTAAAAAAGTGATGTAAAGATCCTCAAATTGTGTGCTACTTCCATGTTTACTGGTACAGTATAAAACATTTTCACTTATATTGAACAGAATAAATAAAGTCCAAAAAACTCTTTAGGTGAACTTTTATGATTAAGTTTTAGATTGCAAATATTTTATAATAGTCGCACCCCATATCATCACACTTCCTCAGACAAACTGTTCTTATTCAACAATTCAGTTCTTTGCAGATTGATCTTCCTGGTGTCGATAAGCATGGAGCTGGTCATCAGGAAGGCTCTCATTAAGTCTCAATCTTTTGTGTCTGTATTGCTAAGGTGACGTGTAGGTGATTGTTAACACTGCCTGTCTTTCCAACCTGTTTTTTATGCCCTGATGTAAAAGTTGGTGGAGACGTATCCAAAAAGATTCACAGCTGTAACTGCTGCCAAAGTTGCTCCCACCAAGCACTGACTCAGGGAGTGAAGACTTACTTCATCAACAGATTTTTGTATTTGATTTTTCTTCGTAGTTTTCCAGGCGTTCAATATCTTATACCCATATATACCCATAAAAGTGTGTAGATTAATCATTCAAATTGTGATTCAAAATATTCACTTAAATGTAAATTTGCAGTTAGAAAATAAATGCTGTACATTCACAATTTAATCTGCAGAGTCCCTCTAACTCACACCAAAACTAACAAGCAGCAATATCAAACAAAATGACAAAGGCAGTATTTTTCAGTAGCCTAAAGTTCATTCTAGCTCTGCATTTGAATTTCTTTTCACCTGTCATTTTCGCTACGTTTTAAGGGCGGGACTGGAAGCAAATTGTGCTATTGGCTGTTATACTGTACATCCTGTTGTATTTTTATCTAATGAATAACGTATCACATCAATTTCCCTACGGGATTAATAAAGTATTATCTATCTATCTCTTTCATGAGCTCTAATACCAGTAACACCTTTATTATACAGTAGTTTACTATACAGTGCCTTTTGAAATTGTCACATTACTTCACCAACTACCTAGAACAGCTCCAAAAAATACTGTTGTAACACAGAATTCAGCATTCCCATATGAAAAAGTATTGTTGGGTTAGATAATACTCACACCGTACATCATAGCCTGCTGCAACCCATGGCTTCTGGTGCTGCTGTACATGCCATTGTGTGTCTCTGTGTTGGCCCACCAGATAGATACGTCTGTTCTGACCAAACTATTCTATTCTCCTCCCCACATGTCCGGATGGCGCCCGGGCTGGGCACCATCTGAGTTGGATGCTGCATCACTGCCATGGATCCAAAGAGGGATATCGTGGATATAGCTACCGTTTAGGTGGATTTTGCTGGTCTACAGAGATCTGCATGGAGTACTGACATACAGAAAACATGACAGATGGATTAATACCCTTATTAATTTTTGCATTTTTTTAAATTGTTTAGTGTTAGCATGCCTAAAGGAGTTGGGCAGCCAGTTGACCATGGACCCCTAGAGGGGTTTTTTTCTCCTTAAAAGGAGTTTTTGGTTCCTCTCCTCCGCTGTCTTCTGGTCATTTCTGTTCTGTATTTACAACATGTATGGTCACTTGCTTTGTTAAGCACCTCGGGGCAACCTTGTTGTGAAAGGCACTATATAAAAATAAATTGAATTGAATAATAGGGAAAAATGGGGATCTCCTTCTTAATGTAATGAAATGAAGGTTCATTAAAATAAACATGACATGCAATTCATTGTATTTTTATTTAAAACCAACAATCCTTTTTAACTGCACTGTAATTGATTATCCAAACTTAGTTGTACAGAATATTTTCCACCAAACATCACAAAGTTACCATTTTTTGTTTTCTTACCTCTTTATATTTGTTTCTTTACAATCAGTTGTGCTTTGTTACTTAATTTTAAAGATACTGTAATACAATTAAGTGAATAGCAGGGCCTGGTGACAAAACGTTCAAAGAGTAAATTAAAGAATATGTATGTGTGTATACTGTATATATGGGATTCCCATATATATTATATACATCTATTATATATACTATATATATGGGATGTGTACATATTTACATTGTCTGGAATGTTTTCCCATATGATTCAATAAATCAAGTAAGATTTAGAGCAACAGGATTCACATAAGATCAAATACCTTTAATATATATTATCACTATTTCAACTAGTTTTGAAACAAAAAAATGCACAAGTGCACATATGTTGTTTCACTTAATGCTTAACAGTACTACTTTTTAATCACAACTAGCACTTAGTTGTAGCCAATCCAGCAAACAGGAGATAAAAAATTACAAGCATTAAGAACAAACTACAATATGCAGATGTCAATCTAATGCATAAGTGCAGAGTAAGATATATATTTTTAATTTAAATAGCAGGTTTACAGTATACATATTGTTTGTTCTAATTAAGCAATAGCAAAACCCATGCTTCACATAGAAAAGGCATCCACAACATTAAGAAAAATGTACAATTTATGAAACATAGTACAATAAATAGTATAGAATTGCTGCTGTACACAAAAGCAATTAAATTTCACTCATATAAAAATATGTTTTAGTGCAACCTTACGTATATTGATACTTCACATCATTCAGACTCAAGTGTCCAAAAAAGAAGGGAAATTACATTTATTACAAAGCAGATACACAAACTCTATATATTTACAAATTTCCTGCTTAATATGCTTATAAGAATATAAGCAAAAAGTAAAGAAAAGGCACAAACATCTGTACATTTAAAAGTACCAGACTGGACAAAAAATAAGTCCATAAGCAATTTTGGTCAGGCTCATATAAGTTAACATTATATTTATTTATCTTTATTTTTTATTTGTATTTTTTTTTTACATATGAAAAAAATCCTTAAAATAGCAAACCAAGTTATAAAAGGCATGCTATATATTTTAACTACAGAAACGTTCAAAGTTGTTTGCTTTAAAGACTTGTTATTTTGTTTTGCTACTGGCATTTCTTTCCAGTCGTTTACCTGTTTTCAACGACTTCTCTTGCAGAATCTTTACCCGTCTTTGTGCTTGATGGCAATTCCCGCAGGCTCTGCTGACCTAGCAGTCTCTCGTCAGCACTCTTGCTGTAGAAAGTAGAATGGACTGCTGCAGTCTTTAACGTGCTGTTGTCCTTTTCAGCACTACAGTCAGGTGGGGTGGCCGAAACACTCACAGGCACGTGCCTTGTTTCAGAGCCACTAAAGTGCTCGATCCCAAACTGCACACTTTCCAATGGGTGGTGATGATCGTGACGATGATCCATAGCCTTCGTGGGCTTATCGAGAGGGCCGACATCTTCTGAAGCGATGCGGAGAGAAGCAATAGCTTTCGTGCAAGTCTGTATGCTCTCCTCCTGCTCGCTCTCCTTTTCCGCGCCTTCTGCAGTTTCTTCCTTTGCTCTCTGTGAGGCAGAGTTTGGCATGCGAGGGGACCCGGCCAGAACCTGAGAAGAGACCAGCTTCTCCTGCTGCTTGAATGAGTCCTCCGCTCCCCTGATGCTGCTTTCTGAGAGGGGGAAAGACAACTCGCTGGCGCTCGAGACCCCTCAGATGCGCTCCTCAAAAGACACACCAGAGAAAAAGACAACACCACACACACACACGCGCACACAGAGCACAACATCGAGACCCCCCAGAGGAAAAACAGAGAAAAGCGCCCCCACACGCGCTGGGGAGAGCACAGGGAGAGGGCGCAAAAAAGAGACCCGCGCACAACAACAGAAAACACAAAAACACGGAGACGCACAGCGCCCACAGAGAGACCCACAGAGACGCATAGGGGGAGAGCTGCCCCCCCCCTGAGACCCAAAAAACAAAAAAAAAAAAAAATAGACACATATGGCGCTGAAAAACCAAAAAGCTGAAAAACCGCAAAAGATATGTGCGCAAAAGAGAAAAAACAAGAATAAGAGAACAAAAGCCAAAGGGAGATTCAATACACCTCATCACGTAAGATAGGGTCCCTCATGGAAGAGGGAGGTGCAGAGCTTTAAAAAAGTGCAATGAAGACGAAGAGACCAAATTTTCAGACAAAATGTTCTGTTTACAGTTGAACTTCAAACAGAAGAACTGGAAGTATAGAACCACTTTAGACTTGTATGTAAAGGTTTAGCTCAAATAACATGAAAGATCTACAGCTCTCCAGCATCTTCAAATGTTTGAATAGTCAGGATTCCCTTATTGCTGCTTCAGCGTATTGCTTTTATCCTTGGCCACTATTTGTACTCCTTATACATCTGTATAAAAGCAGAATGTCAGTCTCTGATGCACATACAGAACTGGCTGTAGCAGTGTATTGTACTGTACTCTCAATGAGAGCATGGCATGATAGATATATTATTGCATGGCCAGTGGAATTTGGAAACGCTCATCAATATAGTCTCAAAACATCATCAAAAAGAAGTGTCAATATCTTACCAATACCCCAACAAAGCCCTTATACATCACTCACATGTAAGAAATAGCGCTCCTGGGAAGGCAACCCCATTAAACCCAAGGTATAATTGCCTCTATTAATGTTGGTTCCTACAGCACTCCCTCCTCAGAGCTAAAAGAGACAGTGCTGTATTATAAGGCTATTATTGGTCTCTTTGTATGTCAATACATAAACAATATTAATTTAGCTCTGTTCCAAGAATTACATGTGATTTACATGTTGGAACTGTTAATTGAAATAATGCACAGTGTATTATCACTTTCACAGAGGTGGGAGCAAAAAGCAAACATGCAGTTTGTCAGTGCATGTGCATAGAGACAACTAGATTAAAATATATCTCAGTCTTTGCTTGGCTTTACACATACAGTAGACACACTGATGCTTCTCTGTATAATTAAAACATGTTTTGCTTATAATCAGAGAAGATCTTTCTACATCTTTCAGCTTTGTACTTGGAAAATGGAAGCTACTGTGTACTATAAGACAATTATAAAAACATGGGTCCAAATATACAATAAGCTTCCAGAAATACTGTATTTTTCATACAGAGCAGACAGTGCAGAAGTGGTAGGACTGACTGTCAGAAGACAAAGATGAAACACATCACATGGCACTGCAACATTGCAATACGCCCACCACTTTAGTGATGATTTTCTCTTTAATTTGAACTCTCCATTGACGTATCACGTGATATTTACTGTGATAGACCACTACACCTAACCACTGAAAACAAGTGGGACAGAACTCATCTTCAGAGATTCTGGTATTTACACTAAGGCTCACTGAATATCTGTTCTGTTACATTGTAGTATAATACCCCTGGATTAATACATACATCTTTTTTTCTTTTCCCAAATAAAATATAGGATGTACACAATAATATATAGGAATCACACATCTCTTTTGCAAAACAATATTTTAACCAGAGCTCCCAATTATTGTTTCTGATGATATATTCCTCTAACAAAGTTCCATACTGGAATGGTAGCCCAGGCTAAATAAATATTATGTGTATTAGGAGTACAGGGCCTTTTCTTGTATAACACACTTTGTACTCTATGTAGCCCAGCATGAAAGGTAACTGTTTTGTATCACATTTTCAAGAGGCAATGACATCAAACATTGTCAAAAGAAATGAATATGCATGGACTGGAGTTTCAATGGAAATAAACCTGCTAATGTGTTCTCGTTAAATAAGCCACAGAGACAGTCAGTCAGCATGCGAAGTGTCCCTGTTAAAATGAAGCTGGCTACAGTGACCTGACGTCTGTTGAAACCATCTGGTGAAAGGAGGGGCCTAAATTCAGGAAAATAAGAAAATCAAAGCCGTTTTCAGACTTTAACAGCAGTGACATTAGCACTTTAAATTGATTTCTGTTCCTGTATAAGATCATTTTTCTCTATAAAGTTCAATCTATTCAAATTATTTTAACATACAACATTTTTAATATTAGTTATTAAACATTTAATTATTTTAATATTCTCTGGGGTCTATAGTTTTCAGAACTCAATAAACCAGACCATGTAAAAAGGTAGAAATGTGTTATGATAATCACCACAGAATCTATATTAAAGGTAAAAAAAAAGCGTTATTTCAAAAAGTACAACTTAAAGTAATGGTGCTGTATACAATGTAATTTAAGAAAATACAACTTTTTCATGTCTCAAATTGCTGGCAATTAACAGTTGCTTTAAAAAAAACTGTTGTTCTGTATGTGGTTTACATTTGTTCCACTGCTCACTTTATTAAATCAAGGGTTCCTGGAAAGCAAGTTTTAACGAGGCTCTTAAGAATAAAACAACACTTATTAAGCAGTAAGTTAAATGCCAAAAATGCATTATAGACAGAACATTGTTTCTTTATCTTGATATCCCCTGCTTTCATGGATATCAGCCAGATGAAATAAAACAATTGGTTACACAATGCAAAATAATTCTGTAATATGAATGCTAAATTTTCCTCATCCCTGAGGAATCCTAATCTGAATATAAATAGAAAAGGGCCTTCCATAAAACTGAAGTAATGTGAAGATATATTTGTAACAGTAATTTATATGTTTGCATTGGATTTAAGCAGCAGAAATGGTTTCATTAACTTTTTACGGTAGGTGTAGTGCGCATCATGGTGCTGATCATAAGTACCTCATATGTGAAAAATTTACACCCCCCGAGACCCCTGGAAATCACTTTACTTCAATCATTTTAATAAGCAGCAAGCATTTTAGCCAAAAAAAAGATTAGCGCACAAATAAAACACCTTCAATTGCAGAATTTCACAATACACGCAGGGAGAGGTTTATAGACTTTTACACCTTTATTTGTACATTCTTAGTTTTATTGGGTGTTATTTTTCAGAGCTAAAAAAAGCTGACCTTCTTATTTGGTGAAAAGGGAAAGCAGTTGGCAGTTTCAACATGAATTAAAGGCACGCAGTACATACCGTCTCCATGTCCGAGTGGCTCCTGCTCCTCTGCCCAAGTGGGAGTATGTCAGACTGCAGGTACTGTCCTAGTGCCCATGGGGCATTGTGGTGATGCAAGCCCCTCCTTGGTGATGCTGCTCTAATCATGCCCCGATGCCGGCTCCTGGGGGACAGTTCTCGTCTGCTGGACATATCCTTCCCGGGAGACATGGGCCTCCCGAGGGAAATGGGCGAGAGATGCCTTCTGGGAGACAGGTCCCTCCTTGGAGACAAATCCCTCTTGAAGGTCACGTCCCTCTTGGGAGACAGGTGCCTCAAAGGTGATGCCTCGCGCCGAGGCGACAGGCGTCCCCGGGGTGAAAGGTCTCGGCGGGGCGACAGGTACCTCCTTGGCGTGGGTGAGGACTCTCTGTGAGGCGAAGAGTCACAGCCCGGGGAAGACAGCCGGGAAGGTGAGAAGTCAGTCGAAGAGGAGCTGTACTCTGGAGACAGCATGAAGTCTTCGTCCATGGAACATGGCACATCCAGACGGTTCTTGTAACTTTCGCCCAGAGCCCCTTGCAAAAGCCTTTGGTATTCGGCCATCTGAGGGTCACTTGCTTTCTCGCTGGGCACCATCAGCTGTGTGATCTGGATGCTGGGTAAGGTGACGAAGTAACTGACTAGTGGAGGCTTAGTCGAGAGGTCAGATGCAGTGCTCTGGGAGGCTGCAGCAGCGGTGACCGACAAAGAGGAGATCCCACAAGGCTGTGGGCTTGTGCTTCTAGATCGTGTCTTTGGTGTTGAGTCTCCTTCATATTCATCGTCTTCATCATCATCCTCATCAATCTCATCACCCTCTTCCTCAACTCCCTCCGAGTCATCTGCATCAGAGAACTGGTGTTCTGCAGTGGCACCTGATACTCCCATCTTTTCAGTCTCCCTCTGGACATCATCAGCATTATCTGAAAGGACCCAGGAACAGTAGAATTTTATGAGACCCTTGAATAGTGCAGCCTGCATTCACTAACTGAAACGTAGAGTTTTAAACATAAATACAACTACTAATACAGGACAACTAATACAGGACAATACAATCAGATAATTGTGTTTTCACTATTTTTTTGGTCAGACTTTTGTTTTGTTTTTTGGCCAGCAATCAACCTTTTTTAGGGAAATTAAACAAGAAAACGTGCAGTGACACACCCTCATAAATCCCCACTCTCCTGTACTTCTATTACTGGTATCAATTACAGATTTTTTTATTACAATTTACTTAAAAATCCTGAAGAGGCAATATGGTAGACAGGAACAGCCTGATGTGTTGTTGTGTACAGTACCAGTGTAGATTTAATTTTCCTGATTCATCTATGCATCTTTGCAAAAGCAGACAGGTGTGCAGCATCACACAAAATAATGTAATCCAAAAATGGAAATAAAAATCGGAGATTTTTTAGCCATAATTTCTGTCGAGATACCTTCTTGAAACTAAACAAGAATAGTGTTTTTGCATGTTCCTTCTCTGTCAAGGAAAATCTTTGTGCTGCATCTTTAATTTGTTTATTTTATATAAACATGGCAAACCATACATTTTCTGTTTTTCATTATGCTAATTAGCCCAGAAGAACCACAGTTCTGGAGTTTGCACAGCACAGTATTTATCACACATTGGCTCCTCCTGCGATTAATTCACCCAAGGTCTGATTCATACCAGCTTCCTCTGCCTCCACATCGTCCACAGATGTCACTGACACCCCGAGCTCCAAGCATTTCTTCATGTGGGCTTTAGACTTCATGTGTTTTGTCAGGTTTCCTGAAAACACAGTTCAAATGTTTTTCACAACTGCTATGGGCCAACATAGAAAAATGTTTAGCTGTTGAAAAAGCCAACGTCCACACTGCAGAGACCAATATACTGTACCTTGTTCCTGCAAGTGAGGCAAAAAACCTTCAAGACACTAACTATTCATAAAACAATCCATACATTCAGTATCAGAAACCCTAGTAACGGTCATGGCAATCTAGAGCCTAACCCTGGAACATAGGGCACAATCTCGGCTCATTACAGAACAGAAATAACTTTGAAATTCTACACTTATGGTGACCTGTTGAACATTATTACTTTAAAGTTACTGATACCAACAGCAATTTGAATACCTGGAATAAAATGTGTACGTGAAAATAATAAAAACTAATAATAAAAGATAATAATTAATAACAGTCAAAGAGCTATTCCATCTAAGGTAAATAACTCAAACAATTCGTATTACTAGTGTTCAATTTTTTTAGCTATATATATGCCTAACATATTTATAGTGAAGACTGTTCATATTACAAAAAACACTTCTGTGATTTTTCACCTTAAAATTTAAATAGCCTGACCTGTGACTGTATAAAACAAACATAAAAACGTAAGCATGGTCATAAAGCACATGTTGTCACACTAATTCTCACTGCGATATATCCACATGGTGGTTGAATCAGAAAACAAAACCCACCTTTAGTCTTAAAAGCAAAATTGCAGAATTTGCAGACATATGGGCGCACGTCTGTGTGCGTACGGATGTGTTTCTTCAGCATGCTGGGCTTCTTGCAGCGGATTCCACACTCCTCACAGATATACTTTCCTCGGCCCCGGCCCCTCACGTAAACATAGTCTTCATTGGATTTGTACCTGAACACAACACGAATCCTTTAATTTTCTGCATGTGCTTTGGCTGATACATCCAACCATCCATTTTCTATCTGCTTCATCCTATCCAGGGTTGCGGGGGAGCCAGAGCCTATCTCAGAAAGCAACAGGCACAATGCAGGACACACCCTGGACAGGACGCCAGCCCATCACAGGGCACACATAGACGCACACACTCTCACCAGGGTCTATCGCTGACAGGAAGCAATGTTCACTACTGTGCCACCATGCCTTTTGACTGATCCACTGCACCGTTATACCCGTTTTTCACTGAAGACTAACATGGAGTTGACTTGGTGAGCAAACTCAAGATATCAGGAGCTAAACCACAGGCAAAGGAGTTCTCATGCAAATGAAAAGGAGTTCTCATTCAAATGAAAATAACATTCTGTCCTTGAAATGCATACCTGGAACAATATTACTGTCCTTCTACCTCACCCATCACTTTCCTAACCAAAACTCTCAATGAGATGAGTTTCCGTGCCGTTTATAAGATCCAAATCCAAATGAAATATTTTATTTGTCTTAACTAATTAAACAGTATTTAATTTCTAAACTGTTTCTGGTCACATGTCAGTTTCATGAAGATAAATAGGCAAAGATCTTTTTAATACATATAGGGCAGGTGAGGGTCTCAACAGACTCCAGTAGCATATTTCTTATAACAATTCCAGCTAAATGCTGTCATTTAATTTATTTTAAATGATTATACCCCTCTTTTATTATTAAGAAATAAAACTAAAGAACATCTGGCTACATTCCAGCTTCACAATCGCCTACAATTGTACATAATAGCTCACAGTAATTATGTAACCAAGGCAATGGTTGAAGTCAAGCAGCCCAGCGGTAAACCATTATCAATTTCTTTCACAAAGGTTATATGTATCAGGAATTGACTAAAAATGAATCAATATCAAAAGTCTTTAAGACAAATATCTTACAGGATTCCACTACATTCCCTTAAGACGGTTTCCTGATGTTGAATTACCTTTTGATTAGTACACTTTTACCATACTTATATTGTGGTATGACCACCACAATTGTTTATTCTTATTTTTGTGGTTTCACTATTGTTTATTACACTGGAATATTGGAACACTATGATGAATGTCTATAAGTAATGTTTACTATGATGCGCCACTGTGGTACTTACAGTTTACCACAGCACAGTCATAAGGAATGAGATAACACTTGCATCAACATTTACACATGCATGTATGTATTGTAGGAACTAGCTCTGGTCATTTTACTATTATAGAGCACACAGTCTGGATGTACAGTATCTATAGATTTAGCAGTTTATCCGTGCAATCATATAACATCTAACATATAACATCTTGAACAAGCCTTCAAACAAGCCTGAAACAAGCTTTGTACTTACTCTCTTTTGGGACACAAGGGGTAATTTAAAGTTTCAGGCAGAAAAAAATCAGCCTTTTACTTAATCAGTTTTTAAAGCCAGAATTTTCCAGAGAGAGACAGATGGGACAACTTGACACACAGTATTTTCTGATACTATAAATGACAGGTCAAAGAAAGCGCATTAAAAGATTTTTCTTTAAATGCCATTCCAGATTTAATTACTAAGAATCTCGATATAAGGATGGGGGCTCATCAACAGTTTTTATCAAAAGAACCTTTCAGTTTTTGCCTGTGGTTTTACTTGACACAAGCTCAGAAAAGAAAAAAAGTGCAAACTGGGAACTAAGAATGCCTGTCAGTCAACCACTGAGTCAAGTAATTCACTCTTCGAGGCATTAATGTGCGAGAGGCTCACTTACCCTCCTTCGAAGATCTTGATGCGGGTTGGTTCAGCTTGCTTTGCAGACCCGTCCTTCTCTCCATGGTGATCTTCTTTCTCTCGCTCTCTTGTGCTGCTTCCTTTAATTTTTTTCTCAAACTTGCTTGCTTCCACCTGCATAAGCTCTGGTTTCACCTGTGAAGCAAAATATCACCAATGAAATATCACTCTTCCTGTTTGTAGGAGGGTAGAAGGGGCTGCATGGCAACAGAAAAGCTATTTCAGGATACAATTAATCATGGAATGTAGACAACTCCTTGATGTTCACTCAAGTTATTTAGTGCAAAGAAAGGGATTCCTTTTCCTGATATGTAAGAAAGACTTAATCAAATTTCTTCAAAGTACATTATTACTATGTGCCTTTCATTTAGACAACAATCAACATCAAACAAAACTATTTTTTGAAATATAACAAAGTTTTTCCACATTATCATGAATTATACTCAACCCCTCACCATGGTTTTATCCACTTAGGTCTTATTTCAGAATAATATAACCTTTACCTTCTAAATGTGTTTCAGAATTGTAGTTGTCAGCTGTTTATTATCCCTTATGTTTTTTTTTAATCAAGCAAAAACACGACTGCTGACAGCCGCATTTTTCAGCAGAGTGATGCATTATCATCTTATCTTTAGTCATAGTAACAAGTTGCTGATCTGTTGAGTGTTTCTAAATTTGACTGTGCAATTCATTTTATGTTATACCATATAAAGATCTAAAATATTAATGTTGGAATGGATGAAAATAATAGAAGCCAAATTCCCTACCTGGTCAAGGTTCTGCTTCCAGGAGACAGAGGACACAAGTTTGCCCGTTCCAGGGCGATACATAGCAGCCATTGTGTAGGTTTCTGTATTCTTCCTTTGCTTGGATCGAAGAAGTGAAAGGGTAGTCTTTGTGTTCAAGTTGGGTGGATTTGGATTGTAGGAACTGACGCACCAAGATGCATAAACAGAAGAGAGAGGAGTTGTCTGGGTATGGTTAGGCTTGGTGTAATTCAGGAAGCACCAACTAACACTTGTTGTAGTGCGAAGACTGGGGAATTGAAAAAACTGCTGTACATCAGCCACGTCGGTAAGAAGAATGGTACTACCAACAGCAGTCCCACCCTGATTGGCAGCCAGTTGCACCAGCATATTAACTGGGATATTACTACTCATTGCCATTTTGTTTTCTTCTTGAGTGTCACTCATGGAGTGTACAGACTGCGGACTTAAGCTGATATCAGGTACAGCTTCATCTATGTCCAGCTCCTCCGGTGATTCTCTGCCATCTGGGGTTTTTGTCACTATCTGCCGTGGTGGAGTGAAGTTGTCAACAGATGGGGCCTCTTTTGAATGTGAAGAAGTCTTAAGCAATGGTGCTCTGGAAGAAGAAAAATCTAACAGCGATGGTGACATTCTTTCTGGGTACTCTCCTGTGCCATCATGTCTTAGATGGTCTGTTTTTTGTGATTTGGTATTACCTTTTGTCACATTTGAATTACTGAGTTCCACTGCACTAAGTTCCTCCACAATCTGACCATACATCTTCTCCTCCTTGACACGTTTTTGCTGCTTTGTCTCCATGAAGAGTTCCAAACTGCTTGCTGGTGACAGCATGCGCTTGCTTCCTCCGATACTCGATGAAGCATCAGTAGTGGAGATGCTTCCAGTAGTCAAGCACAAGGGAATCCCTGTATCCAATCTCCCTGGCAGAGGCTGCGGTACCTTCCAGAGTGGGTATCTTAATAGTCCACCAGGATTACCTAATATTTGTGATAAACTGAATCCTATTCCATGCTTTGTTCCAGTATTTGTAAAGGAGCCCTGGGCAGTATTATCTGTGACCTTACATATTACCATTGTAGAGCTAGTACTTTGTGAATGAGTGACCAGAATCTGAGAAACACTAGTATACATAACACTACCATAAGATGGCACATGAGTCTGTATTCTAACAGGTACTAACATACCTGGGAGTGATGGCTGAGTACCTGCATTCTGAGTGGCAAAGATTGGCTGAACTTGCTGCACAAGCACTGTGCTTGTAGAGTAGATCTTTGCTGGGAGATGGCCCGGATGATGTGAGGAAGCTCTGGAAAGATACTGGTAGTTTTGACTACTTGGACTCTCAACTGCCTTTGCATCACCCTGGTCTTGAACCTGCTGCAGCTGCAGAGCAGGATGTGTTTTTTGGTGAAAAGACTGCAGATTAGGGTGCCTGATATGTAGCTTTTGGTGCGTCTGGAAAGCAAGGTGATGTTTATGCCTTTGTGAAGACTCAGGATGCCAGAACATGCCTTGTTGAAATGGCAGGAAAGGGGCCTGTGCCAAGCTGCTGTGAAAGGAGGAGTACTGCATAATTTCCCTACTTGGAAGATCATGCGTTTGCCGCTCACTTTCTGAAGGGTGTTGGCTTGGAACGTAAGAGGATTTTTGTATAAGTGCATGGCTTTCTGGTTGACTGTCTTCACTGATGCTTAGCTGCAATGGATGATGATGTGAGCCAAGAACTGCTTGCGTGCCTCTCTTAGATCTTGGTACGTCACCTGTTGGTACACCATGGAGCAAAGGTGATGAAGAACTGTGCCAAGTAGTATGCGATGAATGATGAGCACTTTGCACATGCTCTGAATACTCTTGTTTAATGCTATGATCTGTGCATTGTTCTTGTATGCCACTTTCAGGGTAGACGCTTAAGGAGGCCTGTCGTACCAGGTAACCCCGTCGGCGCTCTTTCATACCTGAGGCACTTGCATAGGATTCACCCTGCAGGGATGTAGATGAAAGGCTTCCGTAATCAAATGATTTGCTTCGGACCTCAGGGACCTCTGTAGGCAATGCACAGGGTGCTTGCTCTGAAGAAGACCGACGCATTTCCCTCTGTTGGTGTTGACTAGGAATAGAAAGTGAGTTACCACTGCCTGGCACAGTTAAAAACTCGGGCTGCTTCCCAAAGTCATCCAACTTGGTTGGGGAAACAGCCTTAATAGTTTCATCCCTATCAAACGACATTGAGAAGCTTGAACTGTGAGAAAGATTACTCTCTTGGCTGGGACTCCTAGAAAGGCTGGTGCAGGTAGATTCAAAGCTTGATTCCCCAGAGGAATGCTCCATTTCAGCCAGACGCAGTCGTTTCTTTTTTGGAGGCAGCTTTTCTGCTGGTAGCTGGGAAAGGGTTTCACTTCTCTGTGGCCACTGGAACTCCTCTACGTGTTTCTCTGGCTCCTTAGTCTGAACCTCTGGCTCTTTTTCTGGTTTATCTGGTTCCTCAGTGACTCTGATTTCAGGCACTTGAATGTTGGGTTGGCGGACCAGCCTAGGGGGTATGTGATATTGCTGGTGGTTTGTAGGCAAGGTTGCTGGCTCTCCCTCACTTTGCTGCTGATCCATGCTTTCAGCTCGCATGGCAGAGTCAGGGCTTTGCACTTCTTCAATATTTTCTGAGTCAGATTGTTCAGAATGTTGACTTGTGGGTTTCTCCTGTTGATAAGTTGGATATTCAATAGATTCAGACTTTTCAAAAGAGCTAGGCCTACTTAACGAGTTGGTGTGCTGGATTACAGAAATTACATTGCCAACAGCCTTTCTACTGCTGGTGTCAGTTAGCTTATCAGCATCTGGAACAAGCACTACATCCTCGGCGGACATGCTCGTTGAGGTGGAAAGAACCCCACCAGTTTCAAAACTGTCAGACTGGCTATGCTGGCTGTAACTGTGAGCTTTTCCTGTAGGTGTCACCCTTGAAGCTTCTTGATTTGCTTGTTTTGAGTCAAAGTCGCTAGCTGACACCAGCATTTCCATAGAACCCTGATCACTGCTATATTGAGAAGGAAGGTCTTCATCATCCCCCACACTCTTTTCCTTCCTACGCTTCCTCGTTGCAGTTTCTGTACTCTGTCTATGTTGCATTAACAGGGACTGACTCAACAGATCTGAATAAGCCTCCATTCCCATTCTTCCATATTTTGCACGCATTTCTGGGCATTCGAGTTTTTTATGCGTTTCCCAATCTTCCCATCTTCTGTAACTCGTACCACATAATTCACATTCAAACAGGTTTCGTTCACCTCCAGAACCCTTCAGCTCTGACATCAAAGAACCTAGCTTGACTGATCCTGAAGGTGGGACAATATTCTTGGATACATTTCCATAGCTGTCAAGTTCTACATGCCCTTCATGTGCTGGTGGTAGTTCAAAAGCACCTTGCCTCCTGAGCATGCTTCGATGAGACAGCCCTCCTGAACCTGGATAAAAAACATCATCAGAAGTCATTCTTTCATCAAAGGAGTGGCTTCCTCTTATACCCTGTGGGACATTAAGATTTGATGCTGAGGATGTTGGCATTGAGTTGCTCCTTATCAATGTTCCTGTATCTGAAGGAGTTTCTAAGTGACCTGTGCTGCCTTGGCAAGTGCCTGTGGGATACTGTTTAAGGTCACAACCTGTTACCATTTGTGATTCTGAACTGTCTCCTCTAGGAAACATCTTGGCATTCAGTTTAATTGGGTTAACCAAGGTTTCATTATTTGTGAGAAGCTGCGATATGTGATCAGATTTGTCTTTTATGTTCATTACATTAGTGTCTTGGCACACTACTGCTGTCATCCCCACCGTCATGGAAGTTCTAGGGTTCAGTCTGTAATACTTCCCAAACATAATTTCCTCATAGGATTTTGCATTTGTATTTGGTGGACTGATCTGCTGCTCTGCACTTTCTGAGCGGGAAAAGTAGCCAGAGTCCGTACTGCCTTTACTGTGTGGGCTCAAGAGGTTTAAAGACTGCTCAGAATCCTGCCCTTTCTTCTCAGTGAGTCTCAGTGCAAGTTTCTGCTTGACAGCATGAGGTTCATCTACCCTGCCACCTTGGGCACTGAGGGGAGATGTTTCTGTTTCAGCAAACTGAGGTCCCTCCCCCACTGGCTGAATCCCTTGTTTAGGGACAATCAGAATAGGCACTTTCATGGGGGCCACTGCAAGTTCATCAGCTGAATCCGCATAAGCAAGTTCACCAAATTTCTCTGTTGTGCTCTTTTCGGCTTCAAAAGATATCTGTGGGATGGGACTGCTTTTATCCAAAAAACCTGGGCCTTCAACACATAAAGCTGTCTCTTCATCCGTGTCTGTGCTTTGATCACCATCTGAATGTACCTCCGCTTCTCCAACAGAAGATGCCTGATCCATATCTGGACGAGTAGCTGCCAGTTCCGAAAAGGGGACTAGCCCTGCTTTAATAGCGTGGGCATGAGATTTTCTATGTTTGTACAAGTTACTCTTTGTTTTAAAAGAAAAGCCACAAGGAACACAAGGGTAAGGTCGTTCACCAGTGTGAGATCTAATGTGCTTCTTCAGCACACTGGGTTTAGCGCAAGCCCTGCCACAGTAGTGACAAATATACTTTCCAGGCTTCTTGGGTTTCTGATCTTTTTTGTGCACTTCCTCTGACTGTTCCATCCCAGATTGGGAAAAACGGGCATAAGATGCAGGCAAACTGGGAGACTTCCTGCGTGGAAAGACTCCCCCGTGACCACGGGAGTGCACAGAAAACAAGTCCTCGGAGGTGACAGACTGCAATGGGTTTACAAACTGCCAGGCATGTGCTTCCAGACCAGGCTGTGGCTTACCACTCTGCAGGAATCTTTCCGGTATAGACTGCTGTGGAAAAGAATGGGGTAGCTGGTAAGAGTAAGTGCTAGGAAATACCTGTGGGTACTGATTCTCTTGAGATGGCTGACCAACTGTGGATGACAACTGGAGATTCCCAGGACCATACTGTTGTGCTGACACAGTGATGCTGCCACCACTGCTATGCAACACATCACGCTGTGAGTGTCTTTTTCCATCTGGATCTGCAAAAGTGCTTCTTTTAGTGCCAGCTGTGGGCTCTGAAACCCACTTTCTTTGTAGTGGGTTCTTCTCTCGGGGCTCCTTGGTAGGTTTTTGTCCAGCAGTAGGCTCAACCGGCTCCATTTTCTTCTTTTTCGTCTATACAGAGTACTGAAATTTATGTTTGTTAAACCACTCTAAAGTTTGTAGACATGTCAAATGTATGCCCAAACATTTGTTTCTTAAATGCTCAATCCACCCATTTTCTTTTAATTCCCTTGGACTGCCCCAAGAGAATTTTCTTCTTCAGTATTTTCTTTAGTATTTTCAAAATGTTCTTTTTTGGGCATCAGACCACTTACTTTCAGACGTTTTATATTTGTTTTAATTATGGAGAATTAAGTCTGTCACACTGATTGATATTTCTGTTTTTAAAATAAGGCAGCCATATGTATTGCAGACTCTATATCTTTCCTTCTATTAGGTCTTTTCTTCAATCTCTCCAAGAGAGAATGCAAAGCTTTATTCACTGCATAACATTCACCATGTTACCTGAAACAAAATGAAAGACAAATTAAAATATGGTGATAATTATCAGTACAGCTGTTCACTGTTCTTGACAAAATCACTTTGCTAATTTATTGACAACACTAAAAATTATTTAATTAAAAAACACTTGTGTCGCTTCTGGTCTTTCAGAAATGACAGCATACTTAAGTTGGATTTAATTTTAAAATGTATTCTTTGTTGTTGTTATCTCTTTGTTTCTTTGTTTATCCACAGAAACATATGCATGCTATTTTCCATGCTTATTGTTAATACACAGATTTATATTGATTAGCATAACAGATCATTTAACCAAAACATCATCTAACATTACATCCCAGTAACATATAGTACCTATATAAAACCTAGAATTATATAATGATACCATTAGAATCAATGATATAATTATAATTATATACTGTATTCTATTGTTTAAATCACTAACATTACACTCAGTATTGGATATAATATCATACATAACATGTGTACCAATGTTGATACAGTATGTATATATACACCCTACAGTTCCTTTTTCTTCTTAAGCACTGCACTTCTTTTAGTCCTTTCAATTTAAATATTATTATTTTGAATAAGTCCAACAACTAATGGGATACCCAAAATATACAGAATACAAATTGTCATTTTCAGTATGACTGTAGAACTCACTTCTCAAATGACAATGCAAGGCGACTGTCTTCCTTTGGTGTCTTCTTCTCGTTCTTTAATATTTACTATACCTATAAGAGAAAAACAAAGAATATTAGTTTTATCCTCATTTTGTGGATTACCCATACAAAATGTGTTCATCATATTTCTTATAGGTTTAGGTACACAAATATTTCACGACAATCCTTTATTGCTTCCGAACATACATCATTAGAGCACACCAAATGAATTAACCTGAAAGGATGCATTAAAAGTCACAGAATTACAAAGTACAGTTATTTCAACTTTCAATTCCTCCACGACAATTGCAAACCCTCTATAGTAGTTTTTTTGTCCTATAGCATTTTTAAATTTTAACCACGCTTGATCCCAGTCAGGGTTAAAGCAACACAGAGCCTATCCCAGAGGCACAGGCCACAAGGTAGGAATGTGCAGTTAGGGTTTGAATCGTGGAAACATGTGCCAGTTAAATGGAAAATTACCGCATCTTGTCAGCAAATGGAACCTTCTTTTTGTATGTTGCTTGAGGAATTAAGAATTTGATTTTAACAGCTGCCAAAACAGGAGGATCAAATGTATGACATGAGGAAAAAGTAAATTTCACAAATCAGAGACTACTTAACATTTTACAGCATTTAGAAAGTATCTAAGTAGGGACTTTCTTAGTCCTAAAGAAACAACAACGAAAGTTAACAAGATACCTTCTTGCTCAATGTGGAAACTTTCTTCCTTAGTGAAAACATAGGTTTTCTTTTGCTTACACAGTATGTACAGTATGTGCCTGTTTTACTTTATTTTTTAATTAATTCTGAGAGCAGTAAAGTTATCCATGGCCAAAATCCAGAAGACAAAAGCTATAAGATAGTATTTCACTTTTAAATCAATGCAGAAAAACAAATCTACCAAATGTACTTTCAGCAATCCGGATTGACGTGTGCTCTGATTCACAAAGCATTTAATAATCTCAAATTTGTTTTAAAATTAAAAAAACTCATCTCTGATCAAGTGCTAACATGTTCAGTTAATAACCTCAAGGAATATGACTCTTATTTTCATCCCCAGATATGTTTAAATTTCTACAGAATGTAGATCTGGTTGTTTCTGCTGAAAATACTGCCAAAGATGTGAATCACTGCTAGCCAGCATGCCCACTCAGTTCCTCAAAAGACACAAAAGGTGTAAAAATAGCCTGTGAAATGCTGCAAGTGTGACGTTCATCGGCAGATGAATGTGGGTGGCCAGATAAGACTCTACTGCTGTAATAGCATGCTATTAAAAAGTCACTGCCATTTTTCTTCTTCATGTATTTCCCTTCCAATCATACATCTTTTAACATTGCAAATGACAACATGCATGATTTCCTGATTTCAAAAGAGCTCAAAGTTGCAAAAATCCGCCAGACCTCTAGTGCCCTACATGGCCTCAGCAAGAGTGAGGAAATAATGTGACATTGGTGTCTAGGAGCCAAAGCCGAGTTCTAAAAATAGCCAGGCAGAAACACCACTGTTATTTATAGAACCTGAAGCATTTACTTTTGGTTTTTTTCTGTTATTGTAAGTGATGGACCTTCCCACAAAAAGTATTTGCCAAAATACTAGAACAGCCCAAAATCCTGACACTGCAGCCCTGGTGTGCATCTTTTAGGCCGAATGGAACATCTGTGACATACTGTATAGCCAGAAAAGGCAGCAACAAGTAAAATAACCTCAGTAGAATCTCACCTTTATAGCAACTGTAATATAAGCCATGGCAACATGAAGAATTTCAGTATTTTTGTATGAATATAAATCTAGAAAATATCCACGCATGATATCCGTTCTCATGGAAAAACTGTTGCACACCATCTTCCAAACATATTTAGACAGCCCTTGATCCAGTGGGTTGGGTTGGATTTCAAGATGATTGGAATTTTCATTCTGTTGCAGTTTTTGTGCACCACGAAGCAGCAGCTGAGATATTCCAGGTGATAACATTTTTGTCCACCAGTTCTACCACTGAGGATATGGTCACCAAGACCGTGTTTGCTGAGTATGAAGGAGACCTTCAAGTTACAGTAAGTAGCTTCAGGACTGAAGTAGTAATTCACACGTTACCCTGTCAATGCTAAGCCTATATTGCTTACTGTCCAGATGAAAATAAAGGGAGACATTAGAATCCTTTGGAGTCCATGCTCCAGTTTTCTCTCAGTCTCATAGGCTTTCTGGCTGTTTACTTCTACTTATCATAAGAAAGGTTATAGCTGATAGAAGACTGTTCAGCCCATCTAGCCTGTTTGGTAATGAATCGCTTGCCTGTGCCCTGTGCCGCTGATATAGGCTGTGGGTGGCCACAACACTCTCTCCATTATCAGAAGGCTGCTTGTCCTGTTGAATGATTCTATCATTGTGGACACAGGTGTGCACATCATTTTATCATTTTAATGCAAAATGCAAGCCATTATTAGAGGCAAGAAAATAAGAATTAAAAAAAGTGAAAAGTACAATAAATACAAGCAGAGCTTTCAGACAGCAGTGATAATGTATCATAGAAGTTTTTTATATTTTAATGGGTATAAAATAGGAAACAAATATAATATTGAAGATTAATTCTATGTTCAATAGCACCTATTAAAGGTTCACATATTTAACACAGTAGTGTTTGTCAGATACTATACTTACAAATTTCAATTTCCTAAGTGATAAAGATACAATACTTACACATTTTCATTTCCTAAATGATAAGTAGGAATCAGTGTCTCACAAGGTGTTTTGTTTGTCCTTTACTGTGCAGTTTGATTTTAGGGACTTTCTCTGAGCTTTATGGTAGCTCCTGTACAGTTTTCACCACTGAAAACATTACAAGGGCTATTTGCATCTGTGGCTATTTAAATTTTCCACTAAACTAACCAGTGCCCAGTTGGCTTAGAGATTAACAGAAAGGCTTCTGGTTTCTGAGTTTCCAGGTTTAGTGTCCAACTGGGATCGACAAAGTCTAGACATTAATGTGATGGGAAACCATCCAATCAGTGCTATGAGGCTGAGCTTCTCTGGTCAAAAAATACTTTTTTTTCTCACAGTGATGCGATTTTATGAGAATGTCTTGCTTCATATTCTCCTCAATGCAGCTTTTTATTCCTAAATATACGGTATTAATTATAATGTAAATTATATGTAGGTTTGCATTATCTGCATTATCAGAATCTCTTAAACAATTTCTTGTTTTTTGTAAAAGTTAAAACAATATCTGTCACTTTCCCAAATAGACTCTGGCAACTAAGTATTCCAGTAAACACAGACATAATTTAGACAGACATGAAATGAAATAGTGTAGAGAAGTCACATGGCTCACTAACCTAAAAATGGATTATCATAAAAAGTGCAACCTGGTTTTAAAACTGTTTTACTATAGTAGCATTTTTTGTTAATATTAATAATAAAAACAACGATAACAGTTCCTTGCATCTGTACAGTTCTTTATAGTCCAAACATTCCAAAATGCTTTATATGCAGTACAGGAGGGGACTCACTTGATTCACTCCTGAAAAAGATGCACAACAGCCATTGTGTGCCAGCACCCCCCACCACCACCACCACCACCACCACAGCAGATTATAAGTGGAGAAGAGAGAAGATACTGGACTTTGAAGATACTGGACAAGTTGAAATAATGAGGAATTGAGGAAGGATTTGGTAGGATCATCAGATACTAACCACCAAATGAGTTAAATGGGCCAAATTGTCAACTCTGATTTGTAACTACATACTTAAGAGTATCATCTCTTGGTATACTTGACACTTCTTTGTTTTAAAACTAGAATACTATTTTTTATTTCTTCATATGCTGTTCTAGGGCTTTTCCATAAAAATGGTTAGTCCTCTTTCTAATGCAATATTTGCAGATCTCCAGTTTCCTCTAGTTTGTATTAGTTTTTATAAAATGATTGTGCAGTGGTATAACTACCATATCTTGATTCAAAGTGTCAGGAAAAACTTGAATTGAATTATTATTTTGGATGTCAATTAGCATGAGAAGATTTCATTTCAGAATTTTCAAATTTATTCACCTCTTGTCTACCATGTCTAGAATGAGAATCTTGAAAACCATTTTAAAAAGTCATTTCTATTCATCTTCCCAAACCTTCACATAGTACTGAGGTATTGAGAGACCAGACGGACGCTTGTTTAACTCTGGCAAGTAAAAGCCATTAAAGAACCCACAGAAAAGGACTTGTTTTGAGCCTATGTTATGAGAAGGTACAGAACAATGTTGTCACAATTGATTGAATTAACAGAAGATTATGCACCTGGATTGGAACAAGGTCGGTTGGTGTGATGTAATCATCAAATACCAAAATGAGTTTATCAAATACCGAAGTAAAGGGATTCAGCTGGCAGAGGACTCTATAGTTCACACTCATTTGCAGACGAGCTCACTGCCTCTTTATTTTTCTATTTGGACTTGTGAACATCTCTGCGTGTTACATTAACCTGTCTGCTGGCTGCTACTCATTCTCAGTGAAGGGCTGTTGGCGTGATTGAAAAACGAAAGGCCCTTCCCTAAGGTTTCTCAAATCGCTCCTGACATGAGAGCCCTGCCACAGCACCTTGGCAAGAGCAGCTGCCAGATCAAAAGGAAGAGGAATCCTCCCAGCCCTACGGGTACACTAAGGAGAAAGGTTCTAGCTCTACAATAATTCCGAAAGGCTATTCAGTGCTTGACTGGTGTGATGACAGACTTAACAATCGTATCTTACATAAGTTGCCACTTCACAATTATATCACAGTATGTGCTTTTGTATGAAAAAAAGCCACTACATAAATTATGAATGTTGCTGGATATATTATAAAATATCAGGTTTTCACCTCCTAAACATAAATATTCTGTATCTCTAATCTCTCAGTCATCATGTAATGGACAAGAGGGAGATGACAACTGAAAGGATCTCACTGGCTTAAGAAGGTAAGATGTCCGTTTTGTAGCAAAAACACATTTATACAGTCTTCACAGAAATCCCGACTTCTTTATGACTCAGACAGATTATGTAAGGTCTACAACCATATGAATATTCATTCTAACAGGGTAATTTGCTTTG